AAGACTTTATTTAGGGGCAGCTAGGTGGTGCAGTGCATAGAGTTCCAGCCTTGGAGTCAGGAGGACCCAAGTTCAAATCTGGCCTCAGACACATAACGCTCACTAGCTCTGTGACCCTGGGCAAGTCACTTAACCCCGATTGCCTCACCAAAACAAAACAAACAAAAAAAAGACTTCATTTATCATGAATAAATAAACCAGTGATGATGACTCATCAGAACTGGCATAAAAAGATATCAATCAGAAAATGTACAAATGGAAAATAAGGCTAGTCATGAAGTGAAGATACATGAGACAGACAGCCTAGGTGTTTCACTGATACCCAGAAAGAGTTAAAAATGCTAAACAAAAGCTTTCATCAGCTTGGAGATCATCTGTGAAGGATATGTGAGAGGAAATGAATAGAATACTATTCTAGATTCAGAAGGCACGAGTGGGTTATTCTGTGGCTTTTCAGGGAGCCACTGTATGCATGAAATCATAGATCCACTGAGGCAACTGAGCTGACAATTTGGTATAGAAGCTTCCAAAAGTCTGAAAGATCCTTTCAGGGGGACCAGGACATCAAAACCATTTTCATAACAATACTAAGACATTTTAATTTCTAATATGGTAACTATCAAGAAATATAATCATATAAACAAAAACTGCTTGAGGTCCTCAATAATTTTTAAGAGTGTAAAAGGATCCTAAGACCAAAACATTTGAGATCTCCTGCACTGAAGTCTTGATTAAATTCATCTATGCATTCAATAAGAATTTCTTTTTTTATGATGAGTTTTTTCAAATTCAGTAAAAATTCTATAAAACGAATGTTTATTTCTTCTCCCTCATTTTGTCTACTCCCCATACAATCAGTAGCCAAGTTTTACTGATTCTGCTCCAAAACTTCTCTTGTGTCTGTCTCCTCTTGATTTTTTTAACTTTATTATTTTATTTTGATTTATCAACAATCACTTCCATAAACTTTTGAGTTTTAAATTTTTCTCCCCCTCCCTCCCCAACTCCCTTGTAATCTGATATAGGCTATACATATACATTCCTATTAAACATATTTTCACATTAGTGATGTTGTAAGTAAGAATTAGAACCAATAGGAGGAACCACCAGAAAGAGGAAACAAAACACAACAGAAGAAAAAAAATAGCAAATAGTATGCTTCGATCCGCATTCAAACTCCATTGCTCTTTCTTTGGATGTGGATAGCATTTTCCATCATGAGGCCTGTGGAGATGTCTTAGATCCTTGCATTGCTGGGAAGGGTTAAGTCTATCAATATTGGTTATCACACAATGTCACTGTTACTGTGTACAACGTTCTCATGGTTCTGCTCACTTCACTCCACATCAGACTGTACAAGTCTTTCCAGGTTTTTCTGAAGTCTGCCTGCTCATCATTTCTTACAGCACAATAGTATTTCATTACATTCATCTACCACAACTTGTTCAGCCATTCTCCAATTGAGGGGCATCCTCTCAATTTCCAATTCTTTGCCACCACAAAAAGAGCTGCTGTAAATATTTTTCAACAAGAATTTCTTAAGGATCTACTCTATGCCAGGAAAAGTGTTTAGCTAGGCACTGGGTATAAAGAAAGGCAAAACTGAAAAAATAGTTCCTGCCCTAAAGAAGCTGATTTTCTATGGTGGATGGGAAAAAGGCAATGCACACAGATAAGGAAGTACAAAAGAAGAGACTTATGTGCCATGATGCAAGTAAAGAGGGGGTTCATTCCATTCAAGGTGTGAAGATAGGAGATTGAATACTAAGTACAAGGCACTCCAGAAAGGCTCATTTGATTGTAAGAGAGAGGTCATGAAGGAGATAATTGAGCAATAAGCCTGGAAAGATGGGCTGGAGACAGTTTGTGAAGTGTTTTAAATGCCAAACAGAGGTGTTTGTATTTTGTTCTAATGGCAATAGGGAACCCGTGGAACTTCTTGAGCAAAGGAGTAGCATGCTTCAGAAGTACAAATTTGAGTGTTGAATTGGAGCATGGAGAAACTAGAGGCAAAAAGACCAATTAGGAGACAAATGTAATAGTCTGGGGTGAGAGGCAATAAATACCTAATCTCTGTGGTGGCCGTGTGAGTCGAGAGAAGGGTATGAACATGACAGATGTTGTAGATGTAGAATCAACAAAACTCAGCAACTGATTTGATAAAGGGGAGGAAGAAGAATGAAGAGTCAAGCTTGATTGACTAAAGGTTATAAACTTGATTGACTAAAAAGGTGATGGTACCCTCAACAGAAGTAAGAAAATTAGGCAGAGAGATGGAAGGTTTGGGAGAAAGATTATGATTAGTTTTTAATCATATTGAGTTTGAGGGGCCAATGTGACATCCAGTTGGAAACAATAACAGTAACAACAATAAAAAGAATAACTCACATTTATAAAAGATTTATGAAAAGAACTTTTTAAATGTTACCCTAGGATGAAGGTGCTATTATCATCTCCATTTTGTAGATAAAGAAACTTGAGTCTAAGAAAGGTTAAGTGGTTTATCCAGGGTCACAGAGTCAGTGTCTCAGAAAGGATTTGAATTCAAGTCTTCCTGACTGGAGGTCCAGCACTCTATGTATTATGTCACTGAGCAGCCTCAAATGTCCACAAGGCAGCTGATGATGTGAGGCTGATGCTCATGAAAGAAGGTAGGGTTGGATATATACATCAGGTATTCATTTGAATGGAGATGATAATTAAGCCCATGGGAACTGAAATGGTCACCAGTAGAGAGAGGATAGAGAGAAGAGGATAGATTACATAGAATATAATATTATATTTCATTTTCAGAAACAAAAGCAAAGAAAAATGTACAACTGTTTTAATAGAGACCTTACTTGTGACTTTAAATTTTGTAGACTGTTACAGATTATGAATATAAGTAAGTCATAAACAGATTTTTGTAGGCTTTGAGGTAGCATAATATGGTTGAAAGAACGGTAGTCAAGAGAGCTGGATTCAAATCCTATCTCTATCAATAGCTTTGTAAGTCAGTCATTATATTCCTCGCTTAAATTTCCTCATCTTTAAAAGTGAATATAATAATAATGATAATACATAGCTCACAGAATTTTGATGAGGACCAAATGAGATAATATATGTGAAGTGCTTTGTAAAACTCAAAAGATTGTTTAAATGCAAATTATTATTATCATATTTTAGACCATTTAAAATTTTCATAAGGAGAATTTCACAAAGGAATTAATATCTAAATTCTTTAATAGAACCTATTATCCTGGTACTTCAATACCATTTATTTATATTAGCCAGTATCCTCTTCACATGTATCTTTAATTCTTCAATGTCACCATTATTAATAATTATATTTTAACTAAATGCAAAATGGATGGTAATATGCTCAGAACATCAATGCTCGGACATCTAGTCTTTGTCAGTAAAGGTACAAATCTTAGCAGGGTCACCTTAGTTCTTGTGCCTCTTTAGGTACATTGTGTCCCTATGTGGGTGTCTTTTGGATGAAGCCCTATGACCTACACACCTGTCTACTCTGTGGGAACACATAAAATCCCATGGTACCCTTCCCAAAAAAGAATTGCTCCAGATTTCTTGGCCAACCTTCTAGCCTTGGGTTATGCAAAGTCTGCCTCACCAAGTAGTGTCTTTTCTACTATATTAAAACAAGGGATTGCTATTTAAATCAGTTCCCAAAGGCTTACTGCAGGCACATCTATACCAGGAAAATGAGTCATAAGGACCTTTCAGATGTCTATTTGAATTGTGCCAATCTTAAGCTTTCTTGAAAACAAAACAAAACAAAAACAAACAAGCAAACTAACTAAAAACCCTGTTTACGTCTTAAGAATATTGATGGTGGCAGAAAACCAATATTATTTTCATTTGCATATCATGAAAGCTTTTTTACAGTTTTAAAAGTTTAACATAGTGGAGAAGCAGTGTGTAGCAAAGAGGTTAGAGAACTGGCCTTTGAGTCAAGAAAACCTTGCTTCAAATCCTGTTTCCAGCACACTGTAGTTATGTAACCATGAGTAAGTCACTTAATTTCTAAGATAATAAATTAATGACTAGCTCCCCATCTGAATTAGGGAGGAAGGTGCCACAGCGGGAACTCCTCATACAGATGAAATCACAGATCTGGACAAAAAGGACAGAGCAGAACCACCAAGAAAGAAAATATTAGAATACTGTTTTATAAAGCTGTACTCATCCTGCTTTTGCATGGGTGGGACAGACATTTACATCTTAATATTAGCATTAAAAACATTCTTAGATTAATCAAATCATGGCCTTAAAATTGGAGTTTCAAGATAAAGAAATAATGGAGTAGGTCTTCCACATTCCCTGGTTTTTGAAGTATAAATAGATGAGTGCAAAGTAGATTCAAAGACAGTAATTAATTTCTTTTAAACCATTTAGAAATTTAGGACTTTTTGCTGAGAGGCAATGAATTGTGAGTGATTGGGATTTTATCCTTAGTTTTGGCACCCAATTGAATGAAGTTGCCTTTAAAACTCATAATTATCACTATCGTAATTACATAATTATTACCTGTAGATAAAAAGGATAATTAACATAGGCAAGTTTTTGTAGCACAATTTACCATTTTTATACTTGCAAAATACCATCTCTATCCCTGAATGTCTCTATTTAACCAAGCCACCTGGTTTTCTGTCAATAAAAGATGTCAGTATGATTTCTCTCTTACAAACCAGATACCAGCTGGTCCAAATAATGAAAATAATATCAAGCAAAAAATAATCCATTTACTTAATACAGAAATTAAAGATGAACACAAACTTTTGATTGAGAAAGCTACCTTTTTTGCTTAGTTAATATGATGGCCTCACAAAGTATACCAAATGGCCCAATATAAGATTAATGAAATTAAATCTTTCTCAATACTGAGCACTAGAAGCTAATCAGTCTTCCTTCTTTTATGGCCCTAGTGCTTTTCTCAGTAACACTAACTGTTTGCTCATGGATTTTAAAGCAACACTGTTTTCTTTCTTGTCCTACAGGTCTTGGCCTGGCTATTCTTTCCCATATCTTCTGTGCCAGGTATTCTATGTTTGCTGCTAAGCTTCTGACTCACATGATGGCGGCCTCTTTAGGTACTCAGGTAAGCCTACTGTATCTTTCAGAGGTTTCAGCAAGATGATCAATTTGTTTTCCATGGTGATCCATAAAGTTATGTGAATTGGATGTTCAGTTAGAATGTAACCTAATCCTAGAGAAGACAGCTTTCTTTCTTTTTGTAGGGGTCAGAGAAGTCAGGAAGTAAAAATGTGCAAAATTTTCTTTGATGCTTGTTACACTGAGAAAGACTTGAACCTCACAGAAGAAAATAGTGGAGGGAAAGTCCTTTGAAACTTTTCTTCCTGGGCCAATTTTTACTAATACTAGCACATTTTATTTTATCTTGTTGAATAAACTATTAACTTAGATGCCCTACTATAAATTTACCTTATTATAGAGGTATAAAAATCCTATAAATAATAAAGCATAGGAATTATCTACTACCTGTCTACTTTCATCTCATGATACAAGGTTTAATATATCCATGTGTATTTTAAATTGCCTTCTTTGTTTCTGTGCCTGTTATAGTGGACAGGACATGACCATATTCCTTTTACTTCAAATTACATATTTAGAAGCTTTTCTAAGTTTTTTTATAGATGACTCTTATAAATGTGATTTTATAAGATGGTTTCCTTCCCCTATGTTGACACACACTATATTTTTAAGATGACAAAAATATACCTTATTGAGAAGTATTATTTTCTTAAATGTTATTAGTTGCTGAATTACTATTGAATGAATGAATGAACATTGAATGGAGAAATTGGGATATAAAATAGATATTGAGATATAAAAATAACATAAGAGATTTGATTCAGGTTTCTCTTCTTACTCTAGCAGTGGGAATGGCATAGTGCAGGTTTCATAACTGCATTTTATTTTTTTAGGGAACAAGTTAAATGCTGAATTCCAGGCCAAGTGCTCCAGATTATGTTTTAAGAGTACCTGTGAAAGAAATAAAGTGGCAGCTGTTGCCCAAAAAGTGACTTACCTGAATTTGACAAGCTTATTTGTATTGGCTTGGTAACCTGTCTAAGCTGTCTAATCTTGCCTGTGCCCCTCACATGGACCATCTCAGAAACTTGCCTTCCATAATTAGAGTTTACTTGGCTGCATTCACCACCCACTCTGGTGATTTTTGGCAGTGGTATTGGTACTCGGCTTAATTATAGCACCATAGGATTACAGGCAACTATTCAAGAGTCCTAGCAGACAAATTTGCTCATGTCTAGGGGTGTGCAAGGGATACCTAGGATTTGTATCACTTGTGCTCACAGCAAAATACTAGAATCAAATACTTTGTATTTTGGAATCCAGAAGTGCTCTTTTAAAAAATTGTTAAATAAGATCCATTCAGAATGATCAGCAAAATTATAAGTTGTTTTGCTGCTGATAAAGATCACAAAATAGTTGTTGTACTTTTTTTTTTCTAATGCAGGTTTTCTTTAACATTAGTTTGGGGGAGGGAAGTGTTCCTCTAGGATGGGGACCAGGCATTCCAAACAACCTACGTTCCTGTATCCTCCCTAGAACAAACCAATGATCTGATGGAGATCTTAGAACTATCTTAACATCTCTGGGATTCCTCAAACAAGAGTTGACCCTAAAGTGAGATTCAGAGCAAATTCCAAAGATACTTCAATCAAGTGTCATGACATCTAGAAAGCTTGTTTTTATGTCAGATACCATGTCGTGTTTTTTCATTGGTGGATTATTGGCATCCAGAATGCATTCTGAGACTTAAAAAATCATTCTGTTGGATACTATCACATGAATATGGCCTCAGACACGTAATGGTTATGTGACCCTAAGCAAATCACTTAACCTTTGACTACCTCAGTTTTCTTAGCTGTAAATAGGCAATAAAAATAGCACCTACTTCCCAGGATTGTTGTTAGATAGTATTTGTAAAATGCTTTGCAAACCTTAAAGCACTATATAAAAATGCTAGCTTATTATTGTCTCCCGTAATCAGACCTCTTAAAAAAATCAGGAAATTAGTCTGAAGTGACTGCCTAACCTCTCTTATTTTTCAGTCCACTATACGTAATGCCACTTACAGTGGTATCTGACGTAAAAACAAGCTTTCTAGATGTCATGACACCTGATTGAAGTATCTTTGGAATTTGCTCTGAATCTCACTTTAGGGTCAACTCTTGTTTGAGGAATCCCAGAGATGTTAAGATAGTTCTAAGATCTCCATCAGATCATTGGTTTGTTCTAGGGAGGGTATAGAAACGTAGGTTGTTTGGAATGCCTGGTCCCCATCCTAGAGGAACACTGACCTATGAGAAAACTCCATGAAAGACTTAGCGTCATACTAGTCCTGGAGAGACTCTAGTAATGAATAAATCTAACAAAGCCTCCCTATTTGGGATCTATACTGTTTATCTGGACAAGAAATTCTTAACTCTTTTTTTGTGCCCTGGATCTCTTTGGCCATCTAGTGAAGTCCATAGCTAAGTATTTTTAAATAATTGAAGGAAATGCTAAATTTCAGTTAGAGGTTAGAGAAAATAAAGATATACATGCACACACACACACATATATATATTTTTCCCTTTTCAGGTTCACAAACCCCCTGAAATAAAGGCCCGTGCACTGTAGTTTAAGAACCAGTGATCTAAAAAGAAAATCAAATTACCAGTGTCAAAAATGAAAAAGAGGAAACAAAAGCAGTTATTAGGAGCTATTTTGCCCAACTATATGTCAATAAAACTGACAATCTAAATGAAATGGATGAATATTTACAAAAATATAACTTGCCCAGAAGAACAGAACAAGAAATAGAATACTTAAATATCTCTATTTAGAAAAAAGGAATCAAGCAAGCCATAAATGAGCTCCCTAAGAAAAAAATCCCCAGGGCCAGATGGATTTACAAGCAAATTCTATCAAACATTAAAGAACAATTATTTCTAATACTACATAAATTGTTTGAAAAAATAGGTAAAGTCCTACATAATTCCTTTTATGACACAAAATGTGGTTTTAATGCCTAAACCAGAGAGAATCAAAACAGAGAAACAAAACTATAAATCAATTTTCCTAACAAGTGGTGATGTAAAAATTTTTAAATAAAATTCAAGCAAGGAGATTATAGCCATATATCACAAAGATCATGTACAATGACCATCTTGTATTTCTGCCAGGAATGCATGGCTGGTACAATATTAGGAAAACTATAATTGATCATAGCAATAACAAAAACAATAAAAATCACATGATTATGTCTATAGATACAGAAAAAGCATGTGACAAAATACGATAACCATTCATGTTAAAAAAAAACACTAGAAAGCATAGGAATAAATGGGACTTTCCTTAAAATGATAAGTATTAATCTATCTAAAATCAAGAACAAGTGTTATCTGTAATGGGGATGATAAACAGGAAGCCTTTCCAATAAGACCAGGGGTAAAGCAAGGACATCCATTATCACCATTACTTATTCAATGTTGTACTAGAAATGCTAGCTATAGGTATATGACAAGAAAAAGAAATTGAAGAAATGAGCATAAACAAATTAGGAAACAAAACTGTTACTCTTTACAGATGATAAAATGGTTTACCTGGAGAACATTAGATTGTTAACTAAAAAAAACTAATTGAAATAATTAACAACATTAACAGTTTCAGAATTTAAAATAAATCCACACAAATCATCAGCATTTCTGTATATTACCAACAAAACCCAGCAGGAGAAGACAGAAAGAGAAATTCCATTTAAAATAACTACAGGCAGTTCAAAATACTTAGGAGTCTACGTATCAAGATACACACAGGAACTATAAGAACACAATTACAAAATATTCTTTTTTTTTTTTTTGGCTATAGAAATGGGAGCTATTTATTCACTTTTCAAGGCAATATATTGTGTTACTAGACAGGTCTAATCATCCAAGGGGCAGATCTGGAAGTATGAATGATAGACGTGATATCAGGAATGACTTCTTAATAAACAAAGCTGCCCCAAAGTTGAATGGATGACCTTGGGGACTCCTTGAGGTGGCGTGGTGGTACAGTGGATGGAACGATGGTTCTGGAGTCAAGAAAACCTGAGTTAATAACCAGCTTCAGATACTTCTTAGCTGTGTAACCCCGAGCAAGTCACACAACCTCTGTCTGCCTTAGGTTTTTTTTTTTTTAATTGTAAAACGTGAATTATAGTGGCACTTCCCTTTCAACGTTGTTAGAATCAAATGAGATAATAATTATATTGCTTGCCTTTTCTTTTTTTTTTAGCTTTCAACATTCACTTCCACAAGATTTTGAGTTACAAATTTTCTCCCCATCTCACCCCTCCCCCCACCCCAAGATGGTATGCATTCTGAATCCCCTTCCCCTAATCTGCCCTCTGTTCTATCTCCCCCCCCTTCTCTTATCCCCTTCCTCTTCTATTTTCCTGTAGGGCAGGATAGATTTTTATACCCCATTTCCTATATTTCTTATTTCCCAGTTGCATGTGAAAACAATTTTTTTAACATGTGTTTTTAAAACTTTGGGTTCCAAATTTTCTCCCTTCCTCCCTCCCCACCCACCCTCATTGATAAGGCAAGCAACTAAATGTAGGTTATACATGTGCAGTTATGCGAAACGCTTTCCATAGTAGTCATGTTGTGAAAAACTAACTATATTTCCCTTAATCCTATCTCGCCCCCCATTTATTCTACTCTCTCTTTTGACCCTGTCCCTCCTCAGAAATGTTTGTTTCTGATTACCCCCTCCCCCAATCTGCTCTCCCCTCTGTCATCCCCCTGCTTTGTTGTCCCCTTCCCCCCCCATTTTCCTGTAGGATAAGATAGATTTCTGTACCCAGCTGAGTGTGGTATGTTATTCTCTCCTTAAGCCAAATCCTATGAGAATAAGATTCACTCTTTCCCTCTCACCTTCCTCCACTTCCCCTCCACTGCAAAAGCTTTTTCTTGTCTGTTTTATGTAAAATAATTTACCCCATTCTAACTCTCCCTTTCTTCTTCTCCCAATATAATCCTCTCTCACCCCTTAATTTTATTCTCCAGGTATTACCCCTTCATCTTC